GCTCTCAAAATTATCCTGAAAGACCATCTTCAACCCGTGTTACCTAAACTTACTTCTTATCACATCAAAACTATTTTCTTGAATACTCTTGAAAAGGTACCAGTTGGTTTCTGGGTGGAGGACAATATAGAAGAATGTTTCCTGACATTACTAACGGAGCTTCGAGATGCTTTGCAGTTCAGGAATTGTCCCCATCACTGGTTTAGCTCTGTCAATTTGTTCGAATCAGAAGATTCGTGCTTTTGCATGAACACCATGAACTTCCTGCCTTTAGCGAAGAAAGTAGAAAGAATTCTGCGGGACCCTGCTCCATTTATTTTGGACGATGGATGCTGTTGTCTTTCACCGTGCTGCTGTCCGGTACTGCATCCCATATTTACTCGACGAACCATCGATCAACTTTGGACAGTTTATAAGGAGATCCCGTTTTCTGTCGATGGCCATGGAGACCCACCGGTTGGCTATCATGCTGACCAATCATCTCCTGAATTCTCATCTCCAAGATCTGAAGCTCATCTTCACGACAGAAGTTTTTTTGAACACGAGAAAGAACAAGTTATCACTTCTGAACCAGTTTGTCTGTACCCAAGTAAACCTGGAGACAAAGAGTTCCTTTTTAGCGTGTAGGACATTCACCTCCACTCAAAGATCATGTGATAGCGTTATTTAAGTAGAACTGCTGTTTCAGACAGACTAAGCCGGACAACTTTTTCTCAGATGTCTTCGCGTCAATCCTGATTGAGGACAAAACTAGCTCACATTACTTGGCCAAACTTGAAGAACCTTCTTTTTTTTTTTTAATTGTTTTACTAGTTGATAATTTTTTAATCTATTCCAAGCTATTTTTTTTAACCTCACTCAGCCTTCTTACTTTACTAACTAGCAAGGTAGTTGAAAACAAGTGTGAATACCGTCTTAATTTCGGTCTTCTATAAAGAACATTACCGTAAAGAACCGTTTGGTTCTCAATTTCGCTAAGCATGCGCAGCTATTGACCTAGTGTCATACTCCACAGCGTAATTGTGTATGTATTACAGAACTCAGCCTCAAAACAAAACAAAAAACAAAAAACAAAACAAAAAAAATATTTAAAAAACCTCCGATATTATGGTA